CGGGGCTGCGGGGGCCGGGGCTGCGGGGGCATGGTGGTGACCGCCGGGAGAGGCCACCTGAAGAGCTTCCTGTGCACCGCAATACACTTCACCGTGCTCGCGCTGGTCGTCGCGAGGCGACACCTGTAGGGCGCGAGGCGGCAACACCAGCAACAGGTGCGTGAACAGCGTCACCTCACCTGCGTATTATCTTTTACATTGAGTCATTTATGACTTCCAGCTGTTATAAGGAGAAAATAGTGGAATAGGTCTGAGCGACAGTCTGTTTATGTATGTGGAAACCGTGTTACACGCAAATAAATTAATGTGTATAAAATTAAATCTAATTAGGCTAATTTTATATAAAAGTGCTAAAGTAAATGGCGGGTTAATTTGTGGGCTGCACAGTTAGACCTACTTTAGACAGAACCTGTCTCTTCAGTCTGTGGATTGAGAAAACTTTTTAAAGTTGTGTTGGTATTTCAGATTATTGGATTGACTGAAGAAAAAAAAGTTTGGACATGTTTAGAGGACAAACGTCATAAATGGCGCTTACTTTAACATAAGGACCACACATAGCCTGCTCTATAATCACTTGTTTTGGCATACAATGCGAATAAGCATAAGTGCTTTAAATTGCTTTCATTTCAGAATAATCAGGCATTCAGTAATTATTCTTATACTTCTTTCTTCTCTCTCAAAAACACACAAACGTTTAACAGAATAAGTGTTATGTGTTATGTATTATGCACACATAAAGCGCAGGCAAATTAAGTTATGGATGGGTCTAATTCGCATTTAAAGAATGTTTCATGATGAGTAGTGAATTAAATTGTTTGTTTTTTTTAGGTTTTCGCCCGACTTTTATGTTTAATTTAATGTATCTATTTAATTTGTATCTTCTTTTGACCGGTTCATTTTGGTCAGGTTTCTGTTCTGTTCTGTTCTGGTAACTTCCTGGCTGAAGGGATGAAAAAGTGTGAAATGTGGAATCTGTGGGAAATATAAGAGGAATAAGCAACTGGTGTGTTTGTTTGCACCGTTTTATGGCTGCTTTATGTAAACTAAGTGCATATGTTATATCTTATATACAGATGCTGCCTCTGGGACCTCGGGCTCACATCATTTGCACTAAGAGCAAGGGATGCAGGAGAGTCGGAGGATGCGGTCCAGGAGAAGGTGTGACCGACGGAGGAGGAGGAAGCGGGGGGTTAAATGCGTGTTTCAGGGTGGGGGACCTTAAACTCCATATGTCATGAAGACTCAACTCAGGCCCGATGTGGATGCACTGCGAGTTTCATAAGGAGCTGACACATTGAACCCCAGCACCAGCCCTGCAGCCAGTCAGTTGCACGTCCTGCCCCACCCCCCCTGCGTGACTCTGAGAGTCAGTCATCCCAGTTACAAAACGGTGATGTAATCCTCCCCTGGTAGAGTGGAGGGAAAAGCTTACTAATAGGACTCCTTTTGAATTTTCACCTCCCACGATGTGCATCAATGACAAAAAGGGGTTAAACTGATTAGACCTTCAAAATGTATCTAAGGCTACAAAGATTGCAGCAATCCTGAGAAATGCACTGACATAGACCTGTGTATGAGCTTCATAATGCACTGTACTTTTTTACATAAGCTATACTAGTGTACATATGTCAACCATGCGAGGATGAATGTTTTTATAGATGTTTTCTACAGTGTTTAGACAATGTTTACACATTCTCCTGTGCTTTAACATTATCTGTCAGGGGCAGTGTTATGTGGCTTTTTATCATAAATAAGATACAGGACCTGTGCATAGAAAGCTATGCTGTTAATGCTGTCTGTGATTTCTGGAAATAAGCTTTTCTCTGATATATCAAGTGTAATGTGGGCAGAATTACTGAAACAGTCTTTTATAAAGTGTGTGCTATTTATACTAAATATTTCATATGGATTTTTAGTAGTTAAAATAATAAAAATCTTTTGAAATGAATTACCTGCAGGTGTCATTGTAATTAGACAAATAGGCTTGATAAAGTGAGCTAAAGTGCTTTAATTTCAAACTGAAAACCTCTGCACTAGACTCAAACATCTATTATGCAACCCAGGAATGAATTATTCTAAAATAAATTATTCATATTAACAATGTTCTTGGTAAATAACAATGAAAGGAAGTTTGCAACATGGTTGATTATCATGATATGAGCTCCAACTGTCAGTGAAAATGCACCACACACAAATCTACAAAATGTTACGAATTACACTGTGTACTGTTTACAGTCAGTAATTAAAACTCTTCACCTTACTTTCATTACTTAATATCTAAATAACCTTACCATTTACTAACCAATAACTTTTTTTAACCTACAGACAGCACAAATGTTTGTGCTGATTTTCTACTTCTAATCGTTCTGTGACATTGTATGGGACAATATCCCATTTTGAAATAAATATTGCAAAGCTTAAAACTAAATACCAACAATAACGTATGTTAAATACCAATTAAAGAATTAAAAAATATTAATATAGACAATATACAGTACAGACATGATAACATCATGAAGAATACAGAAACATGTGCCAAATGTACCACAGATAGTGTGAATGTTGTGACTATTTACATTATCACCACACAATCAAAGTAACATTCTTTTATCATCTGTTTAGTGTAAAATAAAATGTTCACAGTTAACAACAATGTCGAAGTCTAGAAACGTGATTGATGCCATAACTGTATGACAAGACATGTGTCTTGTCAGTGATATCATGTTGATAATTTGGTTTCACATTATGTTCAACTTGTCTGTACTGGAAATAATGTGTTCTACCTCTACAAAGAAAGTCCCCTAACTATTGTGTGTTACTTGATACTTCACGCCTACCCTGATTTAAAGAGTCAGCACGCTAAGATAAACTGAAAAAAAAAAAAAAAACAATACACACCATTGTCTAACTCGCTTTACAGCACAATCACATCTTTCCTTTTGCATATGATATGTTGTCAGAGCTCAGTAGATTTGGAAGTGAGCCGAGGTTGTGCCGTCCTTCCAGCATCGCAGGGTCTCAATGACAGTAGAGCGGCACAGCGGACACGTTCTCTCCCTGTCGAACCACAAACACAGGCACTCTTCGCAGAAAACGTGCTACAGAGGAACATAATGTAGAGAAAATTAGAAAATGCACAGCTATACATTTGGCTCTCAGAGTTGACATTTTCTTGCCAGCCTTGACTGATTGAACATGACACGCAAGTGAAGATCTGTGTCTATCAGTGCAGGTTCAGCGGCTGATACTGACCTTTGACCCGCCACTTATATTACCAAATAATAACAGTAGTAGTATGCAGACAAGCAAGCAGTTGTTTAAACTGTTATCTTCTTTCACATTTATACTTAAAGAGCAACTTAATATAAGTTGAAAATACACATTTTTACTAACTTCCAGTGGATTACCTTCTCACCTAGGTGCAGTGAAATTGGACGCACAAGGGTGCGTCAGTACACCGTGACATAACTGTTATGTGTGGTTATTTTTGCAGCATCACACACTTCTGACCACACCCATCAGTGATGCTGGCTTGGGGTTTAAAGTTTCAGCAGACTTCAAACTTTCCTCCAGAGAGGGCAGTAAAACACTGCTTTTCAGGCTAGTTTCTCTTTAAATTTTTATTTTTTTTAGCCTTCTTCTAACTAGCTTACTGAGTCCTTACCTGACAGAGAAGGGCTATGGGGTCTCTAAAATCAGTCTGACAAATGGCACAGACATCGCCCACCTCGCTGCACTGCTGACTGCCTGCCCTCACTCCGTAAATCTGGATGACAAAAAAAAAACACAGAAGAGTTTATATGTAAAAGGATTACACTCTACTCTTCTCTATTCAGAACTCTTAATGCAAATACACAAATCTATGAGTGTGTTGTGCAATGTGAAAAAAGTTAAATGAATCTGAATCTGACCTGGGAGCTGCAGAGCATGACCAAGGCCTTACGTATGGCAGACACACGTCCACAGATGTCAAAGGACTGCAAAACAATAAGGACAAAGTTTTCAATCAGTTTTCTATGAGACATCAATTATAACTGTCCAGCAACCTTCCTATTTTAGCTCATCGGAGCTAGCTTTCTTTTACTCTTCACTAAACGTTTGTTAACAAGACTAACTGTCTACAGCCGTGCTAGCTGCTTTGTGAGACTATATTTAGGCACAGTGGTGCTTTGAGTAAAATGTTAGCGTCAGCATACTAACATGCTGATGTTTGACAGATACTGAAACGTTTGCAATGTTCATCATCTCATGCTAACCGTTACTATTTCGCAGGAACACAAAGTGCAGCTAAGACTGATGGGTATGATATAGACTTGATGATGGGGCTAGGTGAAAAGGTTAGAAGTAAATTCATCCTAAAGGGAACATGATGAACAACGGTACCAGAGTCAGGGGATCACCCAAGGGTATTTATATGCAAATACGTTAAAGCTGGAACTGCAAAAATTACAATTTCCTCCACCTACAGTTTCCTGGTCTGAAGATTCATCCTGCCAAGCTTTCGCTCTCAAGTTTCTGTGAACTTTATCCAACTGTCCCCCCCGCATGACACAACTGCATAACAAGAATGAATCAACAACTGTTGCTCATCATGCTCAGTCTAATACTGTCACACTGTTAATATGGCCCGATCCTGGAAAACACCAGAGTGCTGCACCTCAGCACACACACCCAGGAAACTGTCCACCCAATATCAGCTGAACAAACCCTTCATCAACGACGACATCCGGTGAATCACTGGTGTATTAAAAGAAATCTGGACTATAAATGTCTACACACGCTACACAACACATGACAGTGAGAGTGTGTAAATAATTCATCATTTCATTCATCCAAGTTCCCCTCAGTTTCACTATTTCAGCTTCCCACTTTGATATGACGGACTCTAAACTGACTCATGGCCCTAATCATCTATTTTTTCCCCCAGAACTGAGGTGATTTTTCATTTTGACATCCATTTTTATTCTAAAACTATCGTGGCCCATTTGACGCTCCCCAACCTACAGTGTTTAAAATCCAGGCCCAAGAAGAACAATGACCTGTGAAGAGTATAATGTGGTGCTTATAATTTATTTTGCTTATGCATCTCCACCAGCTTTACCCAAAGTGGCTAAGTGTGGTTACTGTCTCAGTGGCTAAACTTATCTGGGAAACTGATAGCTGGATTTGGATTAGATATTGTTTTGACCTGAATGACCTTATGACCTTTTGTCTAGCACCACAATCACAACACACATCAGAAGCCTCCAATCAAACACTTTCACACTGTGTGGTGCAATGGACATTGTAGAAGTACTTGGTACATCTGGTTTCACACCATCTTAATATTGAATGCTCACAATGTTTCTGATGTAGGAATCAAAATGTTATGTATTCTATATTTGGACTAATAGTATGTCTCTGGTTAATAGTGCCATTCAAAATCTAAACATTGAGCACAAGAACTATATTGATGATTGATTGGTGAAGGATGATTTCACGTTCATCTGCTTTTCATTAAAAATCAGTTTTTAAAGCAGCGGGGCCTACGAGCATGATTTGTAACATCACAAGTAGTCAATCCTGGTCCAGTACGCAACTTTTAACAAGTGTGACGTAGAAAGCACATACACTGAGAATGGACTTTATAGTGAAGTAGAAGACATCTTGTGTACAGCAGGAAAACTTACCAAGTTTACACATTCATAGATTCTGGATTTTTTTATGAAGTAGAAGGAGTAGATTTTAAGGATTATAAATGTGGAAATTACAGTACATTAGTACTACATACACACATTGGGAGGGGATCTTTAAATATCTTGCTACCGGGCACTGATTACCTTGCAAAGGCTGTAGATGATGATAAGTGTGGCTCCCAGGAAGTAACTGTTAGAGGGGTCCTCTCCCATGATGTACTTGTACCACAGCTGGATGGGTACCAGGGCCCGAAACAGTTGGCTCAGCTCCTCGATCAGCAGGTAGAATTTACCCTGAACAAACGCACACAATTAGAAACTACAATATTAGATATTAGGCCTCGTTAGACGATTCAGTCAAACTTCATGCCCATATACAGGTGGCAGTGACTGTGAATGTGCCCACTTAAAATCTGCTTTCAAAGACAAAACAACGAAACAAAAAGGACCTCAGCATCCTAAACCCAAGTAATAATCAATGAAAAAATTGCAACACAATATGTATTCACTCTTTGATCCACTCACTAACTGTCCAAAAAGCAGAAAGAGCTCAACAGCTTCGGGGCACTCTTCTATCTAGTCAAGAGCAGTGCAGTATTAAAAGCTTAAAACAGCATGCCTCCAGCCTAAACATGGCTGCTGTCCAGCGCTTCACAGCAGTACAGGCAATTTCCCCACACTGCAAGGGAAACTGGCAGCGACTTGTTCCACCTGCTACCCAGTGCCCGCATTAAACCCAGCCCTACGGGGGCTTGCTAGCTGCCTTTAAAGGACCTCTCCTCCCCTCAATAATCACAGAGAAGAAATTAACTTCTAAGTCCCCGCTACCACAAAGTGCATTAACAGAAATTGGGACAGTTTAAAACAGAGGCGACCAAAATGGAGGCGGACTTGATTCCCCGATGGCCCCCGTGGCATCCCAGCTTGCATAATGACTTCCTGGATGTTAGTTGACAAAGATTGATGACTGTGGGTATAGAGCCACAAGCAGCCAGGTTGGTAGGGGAGAAAGACCTCTGCCAGTGGCTAATTCATCTTCCTTATTGTCCCCTCAGCCTCGTATCCCACAGTGCCCATCACGCCCACGCAAAAACTGTCAAATCTAAAGTTTGGACAGAAGCCAAGGAGTTTGAGTAAGCCCTTGTTTGAGTAGTTTCCTGCTTGGTTTTATTACTCTGTCTGATCTCTTTTTGCAATCCACAACTACACAAAGAAATACACAAGATAATTAAAGATACTTTTTGGTGCTTTTTATTGCCTTTATTTGAAAGAGCAGCAGGAGAGTGACAGGGAGGTGGCAGAGAGAGCAGGAGGACAGGACAGGCAGCAAAGGGCCGCAGGTTGGAATCTAAGGAGAAGCTATGGTAAGGACTCAGCCTTTGTACATGAGGCGCAAACTCAAGCGGGTGAGCTACAGAATGCACCACAATATTTTTTTTAGCTGCTTTATCCAGGCATTATTAGTCAACTAAACAGTATAGTTTTAAGGGTGTCCAATGAAGTTTTGTCATAAACAAACAAAAACTCCAAAACTCTACCTTAAAGTTTTAGTTTCAGTTGGTACTGATCCTATCTTTGCCCTTTTACATCCTTCACCAAGGTCTTCCTCGATTTTTCCAAAAAAAATCAAACTTGATTGTGTTCTCCTCTGTCGATAAAAATGGCTCATTATAAGGTAACCAAAACTATTTATATTTCCAGGTGATTATGAATAAAATAATTCCTATGAATATTATATTCTATTTCTGCCAATAGATGCTACTAAATGTTGCACACTGGACCTTTAATTTTTCTTTTTTTTTTCTTTTTTTAAATTTTTTAATTTTTCTCTCTTTTATGAAATTTTAGAAACAATTAGTCAATTCATCAATATTTTCAGTCATAAAGCTCCTGTTGGACCACTTAGCTACAGAAAGTCTTCCACATTAAATCTTGCTAAGGCCAACAGAACAAAACATGTAGAGCAGCACCAACAGAGCAAAAAAATAAAACCCCAGATCAATATTAAGAAGAACTAGGAACTACTGCATTTGTCAAAAAACTCAGAGAGAACCTCTTGCACAACAATGGAAATACTTGCACACTTAGCAAACACAGAATTAATAGGATTCATAAAAAAGCTGTAGATATGAGCCCTCTAAGACTTTAAAACAAAGTCGTCATGGAACTTCTGTATGTGTGCCTGCTATCATTTGTGCAGACTTGCGCTGACTGCAGTGATTATGCAGGATCATTAGTGTATCCGCGTTTGGGTGCAGTAATGAAGTGGACAGGCTGATTACGTGACTTCATGGAGTTCAGAATCGACAGGACTGTTTGGCCTCTACGAACGAGTATAAGTGATGATACAATCTGGGATACCCCAAAACTCAACATGTGTCCCATCAAAGCTGTCAAATTCTGTATGCAGTCTGTATATGTGTGTGTGTGTGTTTGTGTGTGTGAGTGGAGGGTACAGGTAATGGTCCAGCTCCAGGGAGGGATGACCTCACCCGTGCAAACCCCTTGAGGGCAAATGAGCTCAGTTGCTGGCAGCCGTGGTTCTGATAGGCCTGTAGGTCTGTTTATCAGTGGAAAATTTAATCCTAATACTCTGTAGCCCTCCTCCTCCTCCCCGCCATTCGATACACAAACACACACCAGGAATATGAGCTGTACCTGTATGGAAATCAAAGTCTATCTATCTGTGTGCGTGTGTGTCCCATTCTGTTGCCTCGGGCACACTAACCACACACTCAGACACCGACATGCACAAGCTCACCTAAGGAGTACCATTTAAAACCTTATGAATACAAAACAGTTTCACACTGTGACCCTTTAGCACTTTCATCACTCAGCGGAGTATTTCATCATAGTTCAGCCAATTTTCTTTTTTTAAATTATCAACCAAGTTTCACAACTTTGACAGTGAACTTCCTGTAAGTCACTGTTATGGATAAGCATGAATAACATGTTTACCAGAAAACCCAAAGATTAGTTTCCTTTTAGGTGTACAAATCTATACGTTCTACACGCAATGTGTGTAAAGGACAAATCCACCCTTGTATGCTTTTGTACTGTTTTTACTGTGAAGCTGCAAGAAGTACAAGAGTCATATAAGATAGACTAACTTAGGTTAGATAAATCTGCATTTGGGCTTTTTTTTTTTTTGCTGATAGCTGATCAAATGTACAAACGTCTGACCTGCAAGCATTTCTTGCAAACTGGGCAAATGTCAAATGCACATATTTAAAGCAACAATTATATACTACAATATTAAACAGAGGAAAGACACACATCCTCACTTTAGAGAAGCTGGATACAGCAAATAGTCTTTTTGCTTTATTTATTATTGCTATATTTAAAATTATTAATAAATTATAAAACAAAATTGACTAATTTCAGCACAACAGTCAAGGAAAATGGGTCTATTAGAATGCCTTTGTTTGCTGAGGTCATTAAATTGGTTAAAATTGTATAGGTTATAGTTATGATTTATGGATATAGTGTAAACTGTAAGAGTGAAATGAAAAACATGTTAACATTTCTTAATAAAAGTCCAATTTAGAGATGTAGATGTACAGTGGGTCAGAGAAATAAATGTGGATTTCTTACCCTGGATTTAAAGGCCAGGAGAATCTTGGGCAAAAAGAGGACAAAGCATTTCAGGCCGATGGTGAAATACTTAAGGACAAAGTCAGTGATTCCCACTGCCCAGATCAGGTCAAAGAAGTCAAAGCTGTTAAGGTTGGGCTTGGAAAATATGAGGCTAGAAGAAAAAGAAAACAACACCCAGATGACTTGTTACAGTGAGGTCTGGTGTTTTCACTGGGGATGGTAGAAATGATAAGCAACAGCAAGGCAAATGTTTAACATAATGTGAGAAACTCTGTGGAAACAAAATAATGAAAAAAAAATTACTCACAGGACAAGACCAGACAAGAACAGCAACACTCCCTATAGGAAATGGAAGTAAAAATAAAATGGCTTACACAACACAAAATGAATGGAAAAAACTAAATATATATAAAGAAAATTCTAAACATAACATGGCAGGAAAAAAAACGACACCACACAGCTAGTGTAACAATACCTGCTTGTACACTACCTGTTGTGCAACTCCTCATGACTAAATGTGTAGTAGATATACACTATATTCCCTGCAAGGAATATGACGATCCATAGAGCAACAAATACAGAACGTTCCTCCTGGTGACAAAAAGAGATTTAGAGATTACAATTTTCACTAACACTGCTGATTCATTGCTTTCACTGTTCATTGCTTCCATTGCTCATCCCATACACTAAATGCTCTCTATACAACTTATGAGGATGAGTGTAAGACAAGTACTTAACCAAATAAGGTGAACAAACTCAAGACAAGACTTTTATGCAGAAAGACAGAGTTTTGTTCTGTGTTCGAGATGTGAGTATGTGAAGAAAGACTTCCTGTGTCAAGGTGAAATGTATGTTAACACTAATATACAGGGGTGCACCAATTTTTCTGCCTATAACCAGGCTCAGCTCATTGCAAGATTTTAATGAGATCTGATAGCACAATCGGAACTTTCAAATGGACAGAACAATAATATTAGTGTTTTTTAGATTTTAAGTAACTTAAAAGGTTGGTGAAACTGTATATTTTTCTTACCGTCAACAAATTCCATAAAAGGACTAACACAGTATTGTCTGTGCATCCAAAGCCTGATTTATCTTATTCCTCTTTACCATAGAGCTCCATTGTTGCCCAATGAGCCACACCGTTTCACTGGGTAATATGTCCTTCACTGAAGTTTATTTTGAGTCAATCCAACATACACAACAATAACAAACATCCCGCTGCTGTTAATACTCACTTGAACAACAAATGTGTCTTTATCTATGGCTGAAAATAGTCCCTTACAAATGCACTATTTACTGCTGTTTGAGTAGTTTTTGATGGAAACTACACTTCTCAGCCATTTTAGGAAAAGTACTGATATGAGCCTTTAATAAAAAAAGAAAACTACACTTGCAACCCAATTTTTTTTTTCAATTTACACCTTCAGTAAGAATGAATGGCCCTTGGGTTGAGAGCTACAGACAGGATAGGGAGGTGAGACGGTGATAACTCATTTGTTAGTTTGGGAATTTTCATGGGATTTGTTGACAATAAGAAAACACCAGACTAATGTTTGAAAAGCTTAGCCTGAATTTGATCTAAGACTAACTGTGTATCAGAAGTTGTCATTGTTATAATACCTGTATGTGTATGTGATAATATATTGCAGTTTAGTTTCTTTACCCGTAATGACACTTGGTGTCTGAACGTAGAATTGGCATAGGCGAATGTGCTGGCCATGCCCAAACACACAGCAATACCTGGAGGAGAGAAGTGCAACATCATCACTAAACCAAACCTTATGCTGCTAATGATTCTCTGCTGTAAGCAGTGTACTATTAGACAATGGTAGCAGCACTATTACTCAACAAGCCGGTGTACCTAGCTTATGCTGAAAGCAAACTTTAGCCAGCAGAATGAGGATGAAGGGGAAGCCCCTCTGCAGCCATGTGACTACCGCCTTCAGCTCAGACAGGGCCGGGGCCGGGGTGGACGGGTCTTCCTGGGCCTCCTCCCTGGAGCTGTGCCTCTCCGAGCTGGCGGCTGTGGTGGCCTGCTGGAGCAGAGAGGAGGTCCTGTGCTGCAGGGGGTGGTGGTGAAGGTGGTGGTGGTGATGATGGTGGTGCTGGGGCGGCCGAGGGAGAAAAGGTCCACCCTCTGTGCGGTGGGGGCCCCCTTCTTCTCTGGACGATGCAGTCATCTGGATAAAAACTTCAGGGGGGGAGCCCAGGACTAAACCAGCTGCCTGGAATTGGGCAGAGGAGACAGAGCTAGACGGGACACCCACCAGGCCGGAGAAGATCTGCTGGGGTGAAGAGGGTGAGTCGGGCTTCAGGCAGTCAAACACACCACCCTCATCCAGGCTGCTTTCTGATCCGAGAGTTTGGCTTCGACTCCTGAGTAGGAAAAAAAACAGCCCGGAAGATGGTTCTGCTTTATTTTATATATCCTACACAGTACATTCTTTTAATATGTAATCTTTTGTTGTTGTGTCGTTATGTATGGGTAAGGAAGGCTAGTTAGCACTGCATTTAAACACTGTTTTTTTTTATTATTGCAGGGAAACGCTAGACATCTGTCGGATCAAAAAATACCTTTTAACAAACAGCCCGTTGTGGTTTAACCATGAAATGTTGTATGTATGTGAACTTGGGGGGGCATATCATTTGGCTATATAGTTTTAGTGTATGGGGACAACACACAAGCTTGAAACAGCAGGCGTGTTCTTCTCATTTCCCTCACCTTTCAGAGGGCATGCCATCCGTGTTGCTGCTGTGTCTCCTCTGCATGGCATACCTCTCATCACCACATGGTCCAGCCCTGCAAATGCAAATCAAAACAGTGTATGACTGACAGAGGCCGGCTTACACCTTGTATCTTCAGCTCTTCAGCTTTGCGTGTGTGTGTGTGTAACATTGTAGACGACCGTACCTGAATGAGTTCAGTGAACTGCTCCTCGGCTGCTGTCATATTGAGGTTAGCTAGGTCGACGTTGCTGCTGCACAAGATGCTCCGACGGCTCCGGCTCGAACAGCTTCCTGTGTGACGTCACCGAGGGCGCCTATCTACCAATCAGCGTCCGCCTTCCCACTGGACCACATCCTTGTTGGACATTTGTTTTGCCCATGGTGGACGACACATTTCTCTGGATAAATAACGCAATTCGCGCCCGTTAGACGTAATGCTGGACATTACGGACGCGTTTTCTTCCGAGGAGGCGAAACTGCGTCACCGGAGTGCGTCATAGTGTAGCAGTAGTTCGTAGCTTATCTGAGACTGAACGCTAACGCTAACGACAGCTAGCTGGCGGGCTAACAAAGCAGCGTGTTACGGTGAAATGCGGTGACTAACTGTGACTTTGACACTGTTTCACATTGACAGCCATTGTCCGTTCAGCGTCACTGCGAGTCACTTCAACCTGCAGCATGGGTTAGCTCAACGCGGCCGTGCTGACTCTCCAAATAAAACGTGTTCCCCTGTCGGAATGCATTTGTCACATTTGCTGTCTGATAAAGCCAGCTAACGTCGGATAACAGAGCCCGTTTTGCCCGGTTTTTACTGTTATCGAGTCGGCCACCAGCACGCAGGCACACATCACTACATACTCGTGATAAATACGCCAGTCAGGCAGGTGATACCCGTGGAGGTTTGATGTTTTGGACCGCCACTGTCACCGGCATCTCCCCAAGAAAGCCATGCTATGATGGTGCTACGGCGGTTACTGAGAAAGCGCTGGGTGCTGGGAGTAGTCTTCGGACTGTCTCTCATCTACTTTCTCACCAGCACACTCAAACAGGTACAGACACTCCCACCGCTGTAGAGCTACACTGGGCTGGGTTATCTTACAAAAAGAAAAAAAGATTACATTGTGTAGAAATTCTGTTGAGTAACCCTTTTTAGTGATGGAATGGGATGAGATGGGAATGTCTGTTTTTGGCTCACACAAGAAAGACCCTGGCAAATAAAGGTGCTCCTTCACACTGATGCAACAATCCTGTCAACCCAATATTGCCTCAAACCAGTTGATATGTAAGTGGTGGCTACATGATGATGATGATGGTAGATTTGTAGACTTATTTTTGGGTCATAAAGATACAGGTTTTAGGGCTGAAACTGTTATAATTGATTGGTGTCTTTGGGTTCATTTAAATGGCCGGCTGCATTTATACAGTGCTTTTTTTTTTTACAATTTGTTTCTCATCACACACTCACACAAGGTACCGCGGGGCTCAACTGGAGAACCATAGACACCATTTCTCCTAGAATTTTCCGCCACAATTTCTTGCCCAAGCTCAAAATGACGTAGAGTATTTAAATGACCTGTTTTGTCCAGTCAGCAATGCATGCAAAGATATTCACTCACCGAACAGAAACAGCAGTAAAGTTGAGAAGGGCTCTATTTTTTCTCCATCGGCTTATCAGTTAATCGTCTTATGTAAATGATTCTGCTCTCTCTAATAAAAATCTGAAATTTGCCACGTTTTTCTGTACTTATTTAGGCAAAGGTCTTGTACAGCTGTTTAAAACGTGATAACTGTGTTGCTAAGAAAAAACATTTAAGTTCTCAAAATAAGATACCAAAAAATGTCTTTATTATTATTATTAATACCAAAATTCAGATATCATATCAGCATTATTATTGGGGGAATAAAACAGTACATTTCCATCCCTACTGTATCTTCTCACTTTGTATATCATCCTATTGTCTGACCCTATTCTGAACCTGATGAAGTTGCTCTTTGATGGAATTTCACGACCATAACCCTGTGTGAACTTTACAGGAGGAGCGGACCATACGGGACCGCACACTCTTAGAGGTTAGAGATTCAGACCATCGCATCCCCTGGAAAGTCCGGTTCAACCTGGGAAACAGCAGCCGACAGATCACTCAGTGCAGAAACTCCATCCAGGGCAAGACACTGCTCACAGACGAACTTGGTGAGTAATGCAGCCGTCGCTCACCGCCACACAGCTGTGATAAGACAACAGCTCTGCGACACTGCTTTGTTGCCTTTAATCAATGTGTGTGCTTATCTGTGTTAATGTTTTATAGGTTACGTCTGCGAGAGAAAAGACTTGCTCGTTAACGGCTGCTGTAACGTCAATGCTCCCAGCAGCAGGCAGTACATCTGTAAAAGCTGCCTCGCAAACGGCTGCTGCAGCATCTATGAGTATTGCGTGTCATGTTGCCTCCAGCCTGATAAGGTAATCTGTCATATCAAGGATGTTTTGGGTCTTGGGTTCTGTCATCAGGAAATGCTGTCCACATGCTGCATCTGCTTAATGCATACGTTTTAATGGATGATCCTGAAATGTAAGAATTGAGACACTATGCTTTAAAATGTGATATTGATTTTGTTCATAGCAGCAACGATGAGCAACGAGAAAGGACAGGTTGAATAGATTCAAATCAACACTTGTGTGTTTTTTTTTGATTCACTCTCTTATCTGTGTACTCTTCTTTCTCAGCAACCTCTCCTTGAGCGTTTCCTGAATCGTGCTGCTGAAGGTTTCCAGAATCTCTTCACTGCTGTGGAGGATCATTTTGAGCTGTGCCTGGCCAAGTGTAGGACCTCTTCACAAGTAGGTTATTAGATAGATCAACATTTAAACAATTAACTGACAGACCACAGTCCTAACTTTCCAAATTCAGAATCAGTATAAAATGTAGTGGGGTTATCTCAGATACGCAACCACACCTTCCGCCTGTTTCTGGGCAATTCAATATTTGACTCAGCCGCCATATAAAAGATATGCACAACTTTCGTTAGTGCATCACTATGACTCATTGCAATTGACTGGCCCAAAACTAGCAACTACACATGTTGGCTGTTCTCTTTATGAATATTATTGTGTTAGTTTTATATCATCCACAGATTCTCCAGAGATAAGAATTATCTCATTCATTCACTCATGTGTTTATTCAGCAGTAAAAATTACAATTGCAATTTGCAAAACATCCTTAAATGTATTCTCTTTAATTATTTTTTTTATCCTTTCATGCAGAGTGTTCAACATGAGAACACCTACCGAAACCCTCAAGCAAAGTACTGCTACGGAGAGAGTCCTCCAGAGCTCCTTCCTGTATGAACTTTCCTCTCAGGGTTTGGGAAGAACCGAAACAGCAGTGGGCCAATAAAAACGTCCCTGTTTGGGTGCTCGGGGAAGAGACTCTCTGCAAATGAACTTCTGTCTTGGATATTTTTGCATTATAGTGGCAAAGAGAGGGAGACATCGCAAGACCAACCTCAAAATGATTCGATTAGATTATTTACACTTCATAAGTGCATAGAACGCTTCATACATTCATCCGTGATGATCATCAGGTCTACATAGCAGGCAGCTCATCCATCAGAATCCACTTCAAACCGGTTCACGTCATAAGATAGGCTTCATTTTTAAATAAGGTAAAAGCTGTTTCATGTTTTGTTGAATATTTTAAAAACAGCATAGAATGTGTCATTACTTGTGTGTATAGTGCATGCAGAACTGCTATTTAATAAAAGTGACTGTGAAATGAAATGGGTTGTTGTTTATGCTAGTGTATGAAAGGTGACAGAATTTCTTAAATAGTGGCAGTGATATGTTTATGAACTGTTGTGTTAGAGGTGTAAAGTAAGCACAGTTTATCGTAAACAAGTGTTATAGCCATGCTAAGAATTTTAAAGCTACAAATTGCCCAGAGAAGATAATGTATTTTAAAGCTTGCTAAAGAGAACATGGGTTTAATGTGCGAGGGGAGCAAGCAAACTTGAAATCCCAGGTGTTACATTTTATTAGTCAAAATGAGCATTATATTAATAGAAATAGTGAACAGAACGTCCATGTTCTCCAAAGTACGTAACATTTCAGGAACTTTGCTGATTTTCAACATCCTGCAGACTCATTTAAAGCTCATTCAGACCCCCAAAACACTAAAACTTGTATTGAATGATAATTGATCACTTAATTTGAGGAGGGCGAGGCCCACATTAATCTTTGTTACAGTGTTGTTCTCTTGCATTGCTTTGATGGGTGTTTGACAGACTTATCTGCCTTACGATGCACTGTCCATCTGTCCACAAATTTCACTGTGGAACACGGTGATTGGAGTCTAAACTGGTGGCTCTGTGAAGGTGATTCTTATCAGCTTCTCTTTCTACCTCAGGCAACGTAGCCTGCACACAAGGGAGACATGGCCAGAGCAAAACAATTAATCATTGTGAAGGGTGAGAAAACAAACTGTCGTAATTAAGAAATGTATTAGAGCCCCTTTTAATTTGCCTCTTTGGCGAGTTGATTAATTACTGTCACATGGGAACGGTGTCATTTGCTGAAAAGTATCAAATTTATTTGAACAAAGACATTTTATACAGTTTTTAGACAAACAGTTGCACTTTTTGGGAAACAATTTTAAATTTGGATTAGCCTGAAAGTGAATATATACATTTCTATAATAATATATAAGCAGCAATGTATCTACTTAAGTCTGTTAAAACGATATCTCTTTAGGAAAATTGCATCAAATTCATGCATTCATTCTTACACAGAAAATCAAGACAGCAAATGTCCTAAATGCATGTCAATATGGTGTATACATTACAAATAAGAACAGAAAAAAACTGTTTTCATGCCTGTATCACAAACTGAGATGAACTTGTGTTGAAAAAAAAAATTACAAAAGGTATCCACTCCCCTCCAAGTACATCTGACGTGTAGCCCCAGTAGCTGTAGGTTTTATCTTATTTTGCCCTTTGACCTTTAAAAGTTGTTCCCCAAGCTTAGACTTCAGCCAGTCCAGATAGTCTCCGGCTGTCTTTAACAGAGTGTGACTCCACTGCTTCCTATCAAACGCATGCCTGGGCATCTTTGGTGGAGGTGGTTTTGGGGAGCATTCCCCTCCGAAAATTTTCTTCACGCACACTGTGAGGCTTCTGACCCTGGTGATGGTGTCCCTGAGCTTCTTGTGAAGTGAAACATCTTCGGTATTCAGGTGTTTCACCTGGTCCTCCAGGACTTCCTCTAGGCCCTGAGCCATGAAGGAGAGGCTGCACTGAACTTTTGACCAATTGAGAGTAGAGGTCTCGTTGACCTCGAGCTCAGGGAAGCCTGGGGACCAAGTGCCAAGGTGCTTCCCATTGGCTGCATCCTGGAAGGGAAGACCAACTGTGAATTTAACTGGTTTAACAGGTTTATTTTGCTCATCACAGCAACTAGTGTCGTAAACTCTGTCTCTGCAGGGTCACACAAGACCTCTCAGCATAAAAAAAACACCACACAGACACAAGATACAGTATGTGTCTATATTTAATAAAATATGTGGTTTTCAAAGCCAACTGTAATGCTCACTACTGTATGTCAAGACACATTTTGGAGATCAAAGCATTTATGCAGACAAGAGCGTGGATGTCATCACACACTGAGGAGAAAAGCTCATCATTTCATTGTTGTACAGCCATATGAAATAGATATGGATTAGTTCCATAAATAGTTATATACTGGCAGTTATGTATGCTATTAGACTCACAAGTAAATAAATGCAAAAATGCTAGAGTGTTAAGTGTTGTGTATATGTTTTTATTCTACAGTGAAGCATATCTAAGTAGTTAAATAGTGTACTTGCTTCATTTACTTACATTTATTTACTTTTACAACTATAGTTCATAGCAAAATTATAACAAACATGTTCACATGTAGCAGATGTTAGAGAGATTAAGTAAGTAGTAGTTGGTTAGTTTAATCTTTAACAATCAGTGTTGGGCTAGTTACTAAAATGAAATGTATTACTCATTACTAAATACTATTATTTAAAAGTAATATAACTTTACTTACTACTCCCTGCCAAAAGTAATTAGCTACACAACTAGTTATATTACTTTTCTGCTACCCCCTACATAATTGGTAATTGTGTCCCTTCTCCCCAAAATTCTGACTTTTGACGATTATAAACCAGTTTTGTTTGTTAAAATTGAAGTAATGGGAATATTTACAGCTGCTGAACGTAAGCGCTTCTATCTTCCAAGATAGTTTCCTCCACGATTACAAAAATTAATCTAAGGTTGTGATTGGATTGTTGGATTTCAAATCAGTAGCTGGTGACTAATATAATTACTGTGATTTATTCATTATTTATTAGTTAGTTACACTTCTTGTTACAGGGGAAATTAATATTATTACTGTAATATTTTTTACAAGTAACGAGTTACTGCCCAATACAATGCATCTCCATAACATCTAATGTCTATACCACATAAAGTGGTTAATATTTCTTTATGTAGGTAAACTTTTGATTTTTTTTTTTTTTTGCATTGTGATATTGTTGCTATTGCAAAATATCTAAATACCCCTTCCACTGCTGTGTGCATGTCTGTTCTGTGACTAAGAGCTTCCTTAGAAAAAGACTCTCTCTGTGCTCATCATTCTGCTTCAGAAACAGAAAATGCACAAACTCGAGAAATTCCAGTGTGATGAATGCACACACTACCTCAAACATACTGTAAAGACACACAGTATTATGTTACTTACAAAACTTGTCAAGCAGTCTTTAACTAGACTTTTGGTGAGGGCTGTCTGCTCTTTTGGCTTGCATGAAAAACCGGCGGTTTTTGGTGCATGTGCTGCATCCAAGCTTTGAATCAGAATCACCATCCACACCCACACCACTTTGAAAGAACCTGCAAAATCCATGACATCAATTTGAAAGTTCATAAGAATTGTGCCTTTTGACACACATTGATTAATGAATGAAGAAAGTGAGTTTACATGGCATACTGTACCTGCTCTGTATTTCATCCTTGCTCTGCTCAAGTTTCTCGAATAAGACCAATTCCTATAGTTATGCAATCACAGTCAAACAAGATCATTTTTATATTTGCACAGCTCGCAGGAGGCGTGTGAAAGACGTGCTCAGAGATAAACATCCCCTATCTCTAACGTAGCCATATCCTTTGATGAAAAGAGTAAAGTGGCAAACCAAAGATTGGGTTCCTTTGACAGGTCATCACCCTGCGCAGTGCTCTTTGTTACTTAAGGAAACGATACATATTACTGAAGATGAAGATTGAAACTGAAGATATTAAACTTGTACAGAACTGTTTACTCATTTCCAGTGCAGAACGCAGAAAAATAACGGACAAAGAAAATCAAATTTAAACCTACTACAATAATGTTTTAACTGATCGTGAAAGTCTAAATGTAATACTGATTTCTTATATGACCCACATAAACAAAAAAGACCATCAGCAAGAAGATTGGCTGTTTCTATATAGTTAAAGTCTATTGATGTTTTTTTTTTATTTATTTACTTGACATGATCTGTACCCAACAGTAAATTTGTATTTCGTATAAAAGGTAAACAACCATTTCATTTTTACATCTTTTTTAAATGTATTTTTCAACCATACAGAAAACACAGTGCATATGTAAACAATAAGGAGCCAACCAGTTTAGATGTTACTGACTGTATGGTACACACATCCATATTTGCGTATACATACACATCCACAGACCACATGCATAACATACACATAATTAAAAGGGAAAGCTAAAATAAAATAATAAATAAATAAATATATACATGCATACGTACATACATAAAACAAAAGAAAAGAAAAAACTGAAAGGTTAGGCTTTGATATTTCACTATGGAAGTGAGTCTATACTTCTACAACAGTTTTTCAAAACCTAATATTTCAATCATATTTTCATATTTACATCATATAGTAAATCAATTGCCTTTACTTATTTTAAGTAGAGCCAATATTTTTTCGAACACCTTTTTGTTCTTATTGATTACCTTTTCCATATTATATATTCTCTACTGTCTCAAGACTTGTTTACCTTTACCTTTGACTCATTTCAGATTCAGATTTCACACTTTCACAGACAACCTTTTTATATACGTCAGTTGTTCATCACTTGTCATCACACACTTTTGTAATGACATATTGACTTTTCGATTGATTCATTCCTTCTCTGAACCCTTTCACACAATGCTTCCTGTGCGCAGATGTGACGGCAACTACAACTTGGCAATATCCTTTAACCCTTAGGGGTTCCTGGGTAAATTTTTTTACCTGTACATTAAAATACCCAAAATATGATACCTATTTGATATGTATATTTCAAGCTGGAGTAGTTCTAAAAGATTGACT